TATTTACACACATATTTATAAATGATCGGTCACTGAGACCTCAGCATTGACTAGAACGGAATGATCAGTGCAAGAATTCCATGTTTCTAAAGGGAATTATTGTTGGTTTAGTTAAGATTGCTGTATTAATTTTCATTAACAACGTCTGATTCTCATATTATTAAATTATGTATATAACACCTTATAATTGTATTTACTCTTTTTCATTTTGTACATATTTTTTCCTGTACAATATAAGTCTTTTTTAATTCCGCAATTAGGAATAATATATTTTAATACCTTTTTTAACGGCATGTACTGTAATTTGAATGGATGTATTATTTCAAATTAATTTTATTGTTGTTTTGTTATATCATAACTTTTTTTGTATGTTATTTTAAAATTATATTTTGTTATATATAACAATGTTTGCATTTACACTACATTTACACATATACATTTACCCTGCATTTTCACAGCATTTACATGCTGAACTAATACTAAAGGCGATCTTATTAATTAAATTATACCTGTTATAAACCTGATGTTTTCCAAATTATACATTTCACTTTTGTTTGATACCATATTTGAAATGAAATGGATTTCTTAAATCTTTGTTACTACTTATTACATTTATTTAATGTAATATTTTTTATAGATATTTCATATGAAACTACTTGTTCACATACATAACTGCGTAAACAGAAAATATGATATTAACTTATTTTAATAAAAAATTTTAAATGGAATTACAAACAATTTGATATTACGAATTGTTGCCATAAGTCTACGAATTTTTATAATTTAATGATCCAAAATTTTTTAATATACTAATATTTAATTTTTTAATATTCTTTAATAATCCAAAATTGGAAATTCATACAGAATACTAGTATTTTTTTAATGTATTTTCAGCAGTTTAGAATGTATTCCAGAGTGACAATATATTTTAATAGAAATAAGATTCTTTAACTACACACATTTAATTTTGATAATTACTATGAATTTCACTTATTACTATGAATATTACAAATGTAACATTCTTTTAAATATATATTTATATTGTATATTATTTTTTTAATAAATTAGAAAAAATTCTGACTTGATTATCATGTAAATATCTTAAAATCCGATCCGTTAAAAATTGGTAGAAAACGTGTTTGTTATGCATGAAATCGCGTACAGTACTTTGAGAAGTATACTTTTAAAAGAATATTATAACAATATATTATTTAGTATTTTAAGATTTTATCAAAGTTTATTTATTAATCTTCATTTTTCATTTTACTCGTTTAGTTTTATCTACTAAACTTATGGTAAGTTGCTTTTTTGTATACATAAAAACAACGATATTAATAACGGACTGTATAATGCTGCTTCAGATTATATTAATTATTTATTAAAACTACATTGTTTTTAAAATTCTTATTTCAACACTTTTTCCCCTTAAATCATACGAGAAGCTGTCCCTGTATTTTATTCATAGCATTTACCATGTATCATGCAGATATTAGTGTCGATCGATATTTAACAATTTATAGCAGAGTTGCCGCTTTTCAACTTTTATTGTACAATGAAGTAATGCATGTACTATTACAAAATTGAAATACTTGTTTAGAAGAGTTTGAATATATAAAATATTATATTCGGATTTTTTAATTTTTCACTTTTTATAATAAGCTATTTATTGATCATGTGTTTTTACTAAATGTCGCTATGCTGCTTGTAAAAATGAGTTCATTTAAAGGAAATAATTTAAATAAATCATTAATACTAGTTTATTTATTTCACTTGTTTATATCTATAAAATAAGTAGAATCTTATGCTATAATTTTATATTAGAAAATATTGTAAGTTGTATTAATATTACATTATTTATTTATTACATTAATCACATATAATTCTATAATTTCAAAAATTCATTGAATTTTTTAAAACACTTAATTTACATGAAAAAATATCTTTTTGAAAATGTTATATAATTAAATAATAATACTAATAATACTTTATTTTTCTTATTTTATTATCAGGCGCAATGATAAAGATATTATATTATCTGCAAAATATTTTTTCCACTTTCTTCACTATAATCGTCAACTAAAGTTTTATCATCTTTCCATTTTAATCGATCGATTGTTTATTATTTTGCATCTATGTATGTACTAGAAACTAGACGGTTATTCGTGTTTATACTACTCGAGCATTTTTTTATTAACATAGAGACTTATAAACTATTGCGTTCAATTATTAAATAAGCATCACTGTATTGTATATAGAACTTGTATGTATTTAGTTGTGAAAGCTTTAACGATATATCCTATATACAGTATAATTAATATATAAAATGGAAGTTTGTCATGATAATACATACGATAAATTATTGAAAGGCATGTAAATAACAATAAATATAAAAATAGCATTCATAATTGTATAAATAATTAATTATGAAAAAGTAAATATTCATAATTAGATCCTGGATATATTGTATCTACGAATAATGTTGTTTATTATGTTAATAAATATACAAATAAATAATTGTAAATAGAGTAGTGTATATATAATATATTATAGCATTCTTTACCATACTTCTGTACTGGTATCAAATTAAAGAAGCGTTTATTTAATTAATTTAAGTTTGTTATTATCATTACATTATTATATGATTATTTTATGTGTAATAAATATATGTTATAAACGTGTGCCAGATTATTTCTCTTTGTTTATCCAAATGTGTAGTTAATTATTGTTTGGTCTGAGTGTTGTAATAGATATGTACTAGTACTCAATAGATCAAATATTGATGTCATCATATCTGTTACTCTGTACATACTTATATATTTGAAAAAAATTTGTTAACTAGAAACTCCACTTAGAATACCAAAATTATATTTTTTGTTCATTATATATGAAATATTTTCTCATTGATTTTTAAATACAGTTTGTATAAAATTACAAATTTTAATTTCAGTCATCAAATTGATGTTATTAATTACTATACAAATTTTGCATAATACCTTATAAATTGAATTTTAATAATTAAATCCAATTTACAACAAGGAAAACTAAAATAAAAATTTCAGTCAATATTAACAAGAAGTCTGAATTTTATTGGCACTCTTATAACGAGGTAGTTACATAATTACATTATTATCTAACAAAATCTTATTTTATACTATACCATAAAAAAATATTATAAAATATTTTAAAATATTTAAATTTAACTAAACTTAGCTACTCAATAAATTATAATTCTAAAATTTATGAAAAACTATTAAATTGACATTGATTACACTTATTAGTAAAATTTTCAATGATTCGGAATTAATAAAAAATTTTTCACGCTTTTTCAAATCCAAATATATTATAGTTTTTAATTAATATAGATTTAATTAATATATAATTAATAGTTAATTAATAATAATAAATATCCAAATATATTATACAATACCTATATAATAACAGATTCAAAATAATATTATTAACTTGAAAATATGGTCTGTTATTATTACAAATTTCTTATCTAGTATAGAAACTATTTGATTTTATAGAAAATAATATAAACATTACTGTCTAGTAAAATGTACGTTCAAGTAGAATATGAATGATTGCAATATCCATTTTAGGAGTACCTTGTAAAGTACTTCTTTCTACAAAATATTTTTAGGAATATTTGAATATTTCCAAAATATTATAAATCATATAATCGTGTAACTTCCATTTAAATATAATTCTCTTACATTTTATCAGCCATTGTTTTTTCCAACTTTTAGTTTTTGTAATATTTGATTTTAACTAGATTTGATAAAGTAACAAATAAAGTTAGTTACTTCTTTACGAACCAGCACGCAAACAACAAACAAGAAGTTAACTGTAACTCATCTACATCTGTAGGAAATATATATATATAGTTTCACGGTCTTTTATTAAAATCCAATTTCAAGTTTATATATTTACGAGTATAATTCGATGTGCATATTATTGTCGAGACGATCGGAGCACTTGTTTTATTTCCCCCAAGGCTACAATTGTTTGCGCGAAAATTTCGTTTAAGTGAATATTTCGTTCGACGACCTTTATGATTTATAATAATTGCTTGTTAACTTGGTTTCCTCTCTGATTCTTTTTCCCGTTCTTTCTGCGGAGATTCGTGCCACGACTTTCTTTGATAGATGGTCCTCGATGGGTACCACTGTGTTTGCTTTAAAAGTAAAACTTTTGTTATTAACCATATTCTATGGAATAAATTTTATAAAAATTATATGATTCACGTTTGCAATCAGTTAACATCAGTGTAAGTATTAATGAAACAATTCCTAGATAGAAAAATCGAAACATGTTCTAATGACTTCTAGAACAATAACTTTATAAAACTAATGTAATAGTCTTTCATTGTATCTTTCATTTCAACATAACAATCTTATCCCTGTAAATTATAAAATATAAAGCGAAGAATTCAGTGCTTCAATGTATCGATTTAAGTGATGTATATTTCATTAATTGTAAACAAATATTATGTCAGGCAAAAGAAATATTTATATTAAAGAATTTTAGTTAATACTGAATTTATGATTAAATGGATTATCAATAAAACATTTGATATAATTTTATGCAAAAAATAACGTTCACTGCTTATAAGAGTATTTTTGGAATTTATCGTATTATAGCTCAGAACTAGAAAAAACCATCAAGTTTATCAATGTTAAGATCCTTTCTCAAATATTAGCTTAATGCATTCTTTTACATTTAATGTCACATTGTCCGTTCACCAATTAAAACTCTGTAAGTACCAACTATTGTATTACAATATACAATTTTATCATCTTTTCATTCCTAAATTATATGATGATCATGAAAATTATAAATAGTATACAATTATTTATATAAATATTTGAAACATATCAAATATAATAAATATATTATTGTATTTTTCATTTATATGTATTTAAGATATAAAAATTTTCTTATAAAAATTCTTATATTAATGATTTAATATCAACTTTTTCCTTTATTTTAACTTTTAGGTATGTACTCTCAATGTTCAGAAACATTACTTCACAAGCCAGCCATATTTAGTTGCAATCTGGAACCTCAACATTCCTAATAAGGTAAATAATCTTTTGTTTAAAATAATTTAGTATTATTATCAATCCTATTATATTATTATTATAAGTTATTTTTTGTTATAATTATATAAATTATACATATTACAATAATTTATTATGGTATATTTACCAATAATCTTGTTTTACAGTCAATAAACACGAGGTTGAAAATACTATTAACTAAATTACTTTGACAATTAGATTCATAAGTAACTCAAAGTTATCTTATAAATTTATTTATTACATTTATACCGAATTTTAAATGCACAAAAATCTTATGTTTATCATACAGTTGCGTGAAATAAATAATAATCTACCAATATTATTCTATTATAAAAGAAAATTTAAGAAAATTATGAGGATTTTGTTGATATCAAAAGTTATAAGCATCAATTTTTCTAATAAAGAAACTATAAATAATCTTATATCTTATAAAATGAATGAATCTTTTAATTATTGATAGTTTATTTTTCAGTCGATTGTACATACTAGAAATGTGTATAGTATAGTATTTTAATGTAAATGATGGCAGCATAGCTGAACACATAACCATCAAATATTGAGGAGTGGGGGAAAAGAGGTCAGTAGAAGAACACGCGACAAAGCCGATGTATGGTCACAAACCAGATGCATGCACACTTATATAATAATCATAATAAATGATTGCAAATGCATGTAAAGCAATATGTGGACGTATAGTGTAATTAAAGGGGAAACAAAGAGCGTGAATGAGTGTATAGATACGCGTAGATATAAAAACATGCGTTATATGTAGATTTGTGTGTGCAAGCATTTTCCTTACGACTTTGTGAGAGGTGCGGTTAATCTGATAAATGTTCGTACTACCCGAAGCATATGAATGAAAACGTACTTTGCTGTTTCATGGTTAACTACATAACTTCTTTCAATAGGTACAACAAAGCAAATTTGACTGTCGTGAAAATTAATTTGTAAAGTCGGTTAATGAACCTAACATCGAATCATTCTTCTGCTGTTATGAAAACAATTGTTTCAATTGTTACAATTTATTTGTATGGAGTTATGATCATAAATTAATTAGCTTATAGTTATGGCTTACATTCGTATTATTAAAATATCTACATTTTTTCAATACACTCATTCGAGAATCTGTTAATTTTTGTTCTATATTTGTTTTAATAGAAAACTATTGCTTATTTCCTCACATATATTCAATTACACAGTTTTATGTACAATGTTTTACTATGTTTAATGCATTATCTCATAAAACAATTTATCGTAATTCAATAGTGATTTCTCTACATTATTAAATTTTATATATTTTATAAGTATAATAAACAATAAATACAAATTATAATTAAATAATTATCGAATGTAACTTAATATTAATTTATTATTTTATGGAAATTTTAAGGAAGGAAGTTTATGTATTCATTTATCTGATAATTAAAGAAAATGTTCTTTCTTAAACTGAAATTATTTATTTTATGATTAAACATATATCGTTCAAGTGAAATAATATTGTTTCGAAGTACATCAATAAGATGAATTAATCGATGAAATTTTTTCTTTGCTCCCTGTTCATCAAATACTGCTTGCAAGAGAAGAAAATAATGCATAAGATTTTATTTCTCACACATCACGTATATTGTTGGGAAAATATAACGAGCCAAGGTAATAATATTTTAATTTAATTATTCAATAATAATCAAACAATCTGATGTGATAGCACTTTCATGACATGAAATGTATCTCGTTATAAAATAATTTTAATAAATTGTAAAATAATACGTCTTGTTTAATTGTTAGTAGACAGGTTTCTTAATAAAATTGCAGCTGATTATGACTATTTTTTCAAAACACTTATTAAAAAGTGCTTCATTTAACCAGGAATGAGGATATTTAATTTTTACGAATTTTATTACATTTCTTTACATTTTTAAGTAAAACTTAATGAAATTGCTTTCTTCATTCATATAATATTTCAATATGTCACTATTGAATAAAAAGCCAGTCTTATGATCTCGAAAAAATAATATTCTGGTTACATTTACGTTGTTATAAAATTGTAAAAATAATTTATAATTAACTGTTTTAGGATTCTTTTGAATAATATATACATCTATATATACACTTCAAATTTCTAATTACACAAAGTACTTTGATAAATAAAAGATTAAAAAAGAATGGAATTTTATTTGTAATAATACATAAACTAATCCATGAAATTTAAAAAACTTTATTTATTATTTCCAATTTCATCGATTAGCACAATTTTTAAAAGTCGAGTACGGTCGAGTGAGTCATTTAAGTTAATACGGAATGGATTGAAATATTGAACACGAGTTATAAAAAACAATCTTTAATTGTTTTCAGTTTACTTCTTCTTTTCATTTTCGTTCGACGTTATATGCTGGTTCCATTCTTGCTGCATCGTCGAAAGTTTATATTCTCTGCGACGGTATCTTTGTGCACATATGTTAGATATGTGTCCTATCCATAAAGAACAAGCTGAATAAGAAGAAAAGATCGCAAAAAGATTTACGATGGGCGAAAAGTTGAACGGTTAAAGAAAAACCATGTACCGTTTCTCGTTTTGCTTCCTAACTGGAAAAGTTGGTCTTTTTTATTTTTTTTAAGAGTAAATTGGATAAGTGCATTATTAACTGTGAAATAAATTTTTTTATAAGCTTGTCAATAATGGTGAAATAAGTAATCAGGCGATGAAACGCATGGTTGATAACTGCACTATTTTACAATCTTTATAATGGTTGATAAATTAAATAACCTTTCTATGTTTATATTGTCCTCTGCTAATGATTTAGTTTCTCCCTTTACTTTTATTAATTTAAATTAAATTTTTTAATGTAATATACTCTAGTTGAAATATTTTTAAGTAGTACTATAGAAAGTTTTAATGGATAATTCCTCATATGTAATTAACTGTTAATTTATTTATTATGAACTTAAATATAAGATAAATAATTTTGTTATGGAAAAATAATTGGCATTTTCAGGAATAAACTCAACGTACAAGCATAAAATAAAAATTTATAAAATTTAAATCAATAAAATGCTACTTCTTTATAAAAAGCGTGTTTTCACTTTCAAATTTATATTTTAAATTGAATTTTATTATAAATTAAAAATTATAAAGTATCACAAAATATTTAAATATTAATTACCGAATAGATAATTTTATATTGTATTTAATAAAAGATTCATTTTGCTCAAAATTAGAAATATTTTTCTTGTTTATATCAATCCAATAATTAATTATATCATATTGGAGTCAATAAGATAATGATTATTTTTTAAATTTAATTATATTAATATTCTGTAATAGATAATGATTTTTTTAATTTAAATGCATTAACGCGAATTGGAAATAAATTGGACTTAGAAATGGATAATTATATGGATAATGGATATAAAATTTTGATTCTGAAAGAAAATTATTTTATTCTTACAAATTATTTTTTTAATTTTCTAAATTTTACTAAAGTATAAATAGTTTGTAGTTTATAATGTTTTAAAAGTACTTTAACATAAGAAACAGTTTTAAAATACTTTTATAATCACAGTACAAATATTAAAATGAAAATGTTCAAATTATAATATTGTAAATATTTTAATGTGTTAAAAAAAATCTTAAACAAATAGAAACATAATTTTGGAAGCATTATTTTTACATATAACATTAATGATTATTGTTAAAGTAAAGATTCGTCCATGACATCATTAAAATTTAATATTTTCCCATATGTTACGCGAACTGATTACCATGTTGTATTTGCATTCATTTATCTTTATTTAATATAAGTATCCGCATTATTGTGTAGAAAATTAATTTAAAAAAAAAAAAGATCTATGTCGCACAACGATGTGCATGAAATGTACGCAAGCAGTAGATTCAGCACCTCTTAATTATTTTAATTGATCATGTACTTCTACTTTATCCATGCCGTTATTATTTTACGCATTTATTGATTTTCAATATGATTAGATTTTATTCTAAAATTAAATAGACACTTATTTTATTACATATACTAATTTATGACATTTTTACGTGTATTTTTATTACAAAATTAATTTATAGAATATATAGATTATATTAATATTAATAAATTTTGGTAAAAGTACTTTTGATATTATTTGAATTTTCAAGTACAAATATACTTGAATATTGCTTAATTATTCTTTTACTTTATTTTAAAATACCAAAATTTAAGTCATGTAAATTGCAATAATACGTAATAAACAATCAGATAAAGATAGATTTGAAAATACATGTTCATTATTGTATATAGAGCAATCGACTGCAAGCTCAACTCTCAATTCATAATGCTAAAGTAAAGTTCTGCTATAAATCTGATAATACAAACAAATGAAATATTTCTTTTTGTCAAATAATTTAACTTCTAGAACATGGTATAGCTATTTTAAATATCATACGTATTACAAGGATAATACTTTTTAATCATTTAAAGGAAAAGTTAATAACAATGTAATATATTCATGATTAGTAAAAAATTCATAGTAAAATCGAAGAGTTTAAGTGGAAGTCAATAATTTCTAGCGTAAATTTTAATACAATTGCAAATATAGCATTAGCATAGAAAAAAACTCCGCATTTCAAAATATACGTAATTGCTATCAAAATTATTTATTGGTAATAGTCGCTTCTAAGAATTTACTGTATGGAATAGTTTTATAAAAATTAATTGTTTGCAGTGGTAATAACTTTTTCTATTCATTCTTCATTTCTCAAAACTTGATTTCTTAATTTCTCAAAATAGTAAAACAAAGGAAAAACAGAATGAGTACCAAGTGATGGTGGAATCATTGTACAAAAAAAGTGATCAAATTGAGAGAAAAGAATAAAGCTGAAAGCTCGTGTACTCATCTCCGTATGATGAAGGAACGAGGAAAAGAGGAACGGCAAAGGATGCGAAGGCCGAAGTAAAGTTGTACAAAGGCACTGCAAATTGGGACAAGGCCGAAGTATCGGGGCTTTGCAACTT